TCAGAGAAAGGTGTCTCCTGTGTACAACTAAAATATTTTATGTACTGTTTCTCACCAAAACGTATTATCCGACTGGGAGTTGTGTACACGTCAGTTTAATTTACATAACCCCTAAATTATTATACGACACTATCGTACAGGGAGCAAACTAGGAAAAACATTCGAGACGTGTCGCGGACAAAGGTGCCCGTGTAGGCGGACCACGTCAGGACGACTGGTCGGCCGCGGCTGTACTTGGACCACCGGACGCTGGGCTCCGGCGAAGTCGCCCCTCTTTCTCTAGTCTGGACGGAGTACACCCGCATACTCCTTTCACAAACAGACATCCTATTCTATTCTATCTGAATAATTAGGGCTTCCTTTAACCAACACGGTCTCAATGTTTTTATGTTTCTGTGTCGTCGTGTTGATTATTTGAAATGTGACCCAGGACACATGCCTATTTACCTTTCTTAAATTTTGTTGAAATTCTAATAGATAGGTATGGTAGATGAGGTAGGTACGTAGGTAGTAGGTAGGTAGGTAGGTAGGATAGGTAGGTAGGTAGGTAGGTAGGTAGGTAATGGTAGGTAGAGTAGATAGGTAGGTAAGGTAAGGGTAGGTAAGAGTCATGGTAGGGTAGGTACGGTAGGTGGGTAGGTAGGTAGTAGGTAGGTAGGTAGGGTGGTAGGTACGGTAGGTAGATAGGTAAGGTCGGTGAGGTAGTTGGTACGGTAGATAGGGTAGATAGGAGATCGTCATAGTAGATAGATAGATCGTCGTCCCCACGGGTGTGAAAAAGTCGAACCCCGATGAAAAATTTTACTGGTTCCAGTTTACTAGATTCGTATGTAATTTTGTACGATTTGTATATAACATGATATCATGACTCATATGAATACACCACATGGGACGTTATGACGTACCTGGGGCATACCGTGTTAATGTTGATATTTACAAACCAGTAATGCAGTTAAAATATGGGGAAAGGAAATCATCTTACACAGTATTTTATCCTTCCGATTGTAACTCCCATTGTCGAGCACGCCAACTGGTGGCGTACCGTACGCACTTGACGCACAATTCTTTCTCCTCTAGAGTCTGACCGAATGGACATGCAAGTTAGTCGACGTTTACGGTACATCTCCTACCTACTTTTCCGATTGAAAAAAAAAAGTTCGTACCTAGATGGGGTGTGATGGCGGAAGAACGCTAGCTGGCCCAGCTAGCTAGCACAACCTGGGACTAGATCGTCAATAGGGTAGATCAGTAGATAGGTAGGATAGGTATTATAGAGAGATAGGATAAGATAGCATAGTCGATCTAGGTAGATTGGTAGCGATAGGTGAGATAGATGAGATCCAGGTAGATAGGTAGATCCAGATAGATAGATAGGTAGATAGTAGATGGTAGATGATAGATATGATGAAGCGTAGATGAGATTGAGGTAGGATAACGGAAGATAGGTAGTGGTAGATACGATAGATTATGTTGCAGATAGCGTAGATAGTAGATAGGATAAGGTAGGCGATTAGGGTAGATTTAGGTACGAGATTCGATCACGATGAGGAAGATAGGCGTAAGATCAGATAGGTAGATACGAGAAGATGAGGTCAGATAGGCGTTAGCGATAGATTAGGATGTAGATCAATCGTGAAGATTAAGATAATTGAACGATAATGGTAATTTCCATGCTAGCGTAGGATCGAGGTAGGGATAGATAGATAAGATAAGGTACGATAAGATAGGTAGATAGATAGATACTACACTATGGCAGATAGTGCCGCAGACAGATTAATAGGGGTATATTAGATAGATAGGGTCAACATATCAGTAGATTAGATAGATCAGATTACGATAGATGGAGTAGATGCGTTAGATCAAGATCGGCAGACATATAGATAGATTCGAGACATATAAGTAGATCAGGAAAAAAGATTCTCTCTCTTTTTGTCCTGATCCATTTCTATAAAAACCTGTCTGAAAATGAGCTGATCAGATTTTGGCCACTTTATGATGTCATAACGATGTGTTGTCTTGTGTAACCATTAGCCAATCACCAACCAAGGTAACCCCCCCCACCTTATCACCTGAATCTCCTCCTAGAGCACCATTGTGTTCTTTTTAACCAAATATCTCTCAGAGGGGCGTGGGGAGGGGCTCCTTATTTTCATCCAAAGTAACAGACAGAGAATCAGCACTTTGGAAACAGGGCTGAAACAGAGGGGATTATGGGTAATGATCTGTTTGGTGTTTGGAGCCAAACACTTCAGAGACATGTTTTGTATATATCTGAGACCTGGAATATATTGATGAAAAACAGTACAAATAAATATAAAACTCACCTGTGTGTCCGTCTCTACCCTGAGTGTTGATGCTCATGGCGTTCTGGCTCAACAAGAACTTCACCATCTCCAGGTCTTTACCATATGTGCACGCACTGTAACACAAAATATGGTCTCATCATCACCTCAGAGCAGCATGATTCACAGGTTGGAGAGGAAAGTGTGCCATATAGCATGCATTATGCACAGCAGGTGTTTGTCAGACTATAAATAAATACAGTGTGAGACAATACCTGTGGAGGGCCGTCTCACTGAATATGTTCTCCTTCGTCAGACTGTCTGTGCCTGAAAGCTGAATCAACTCCTTAGCGGCCTCACATTTCCCATTATAGCAGGCCCTGGTGAGACACACATTTCAATACAGCGCTTCATGTCATCGTACAAAAACGTGCAGAAGGTTATTGACAGTGTGAATCATTTACAGGTGTAATGGTGTGTCTCCGTAGATGTTGACGGAGTGAGGCTGCACGTCGAAGTTTCCCTGAAGGAGGAAGCGCACAATCTCATGGTGACCAAAGCGGGCGCAGAAGTGAAGAGGGACGTGGTCCTCGTTGTCGAGAGCATTTACTGGAGAGAAGAGCAGAACAAGTTACGGTAAATAAAACATGTAATCCCACTCTGGCTCAAGTGAGTGTTATTTAAATGGATCCTAACTTTACAGGGTTTCCCCTTTCCTGTAGTGTGTTTGTGATATAACGTTTTTTGGGCATGTTAATGGTCTGCAAAGGCCGAAATCCCAAAGTTTCCTCCAGAGGGAGTTTCTCTCCCACACACTGCCTGAAACGCCTTCATTGGGGCAGCGGTGGTGGCGTCCATAGGGACTTGGCTTGGCAACTGGAAGGTCACCAGTTCAAGTCCCGGCAAGACCAAGTGCTACCGAGGTGTCCCTGAGCAAGGCACCGTTCCCTACACTGCTCCCCGTGCGCCGTACAAAACGGCAGCCCACTGCTCCTAACACTAGGATGGGTCAAATGCAGAGAAACCGTTTCGTTGCTAGTACCTGTACTACGTAATGACAATAAGTTGAATCTTCAATTGGTTTACTTGCATAACATGATGACATCACTATGTAACATTTGTGCTTCTATTGGCTAGCGCTCCAACCGATGTACGTGACAAGCTAAGGGGCGGGACAACCAATCACAACAGAGCCGGCCAGCTAACCAATCAGATCACCTAGCTCTGGTTTCAGACCAAGGGTTAATAGAGGTGCTGCAGAACAGGCAGTATGAGAAAAACACTTTTTGAACATTAAGGCATCTATTTTATATGAATATTGTTATTAAAATTCTGCTGTTATTTATTGAAAAGTCTATATTCTTAGGAACCACCTGTTGGAGCCCCATGTCTCACCGTTGGCTTTGCTCCCGTCCCCCAGCAGCAGTTTGATGATGCAGAGGAACCCTCGGGCTGCAGCCAGGTGCAGAGGCCGGTCCCCCACCTCCCCGCTCGCATTCACATCTGCCCCGAACTTCAGCAGCAGCTTGGCCAGCTTTGAAGCAGAGAGATGAGTACACACATACATTTGGATGAGAAAAGTACTAATTTTCTCTAAGAATGCAGAAGTGATTGATAAGAGAACTTTACCTGCTCATAGTTGTTATAAGAAGCAATGTGCAGTGGAGAGAAAAACACGGCATCCTGAACGTTCACATTAGCTCCGTGCTGCAGCAGGATATCTGCGGCCTGGTGGAGGGAATACACATTAACAAGGTTTCAAATCAATGAAACGCCCTTTATGTCTAAATGAGCATCCCCATTAGCAACAGCATGAGCATCGGCTCTTCTTCCTGGGGTCCACACACATACAGACAGACATACACACTATAGTCACATAGTCACAGCACACATCAACAGACAAAACAACGTATCTAATGTCGTGAACAATCAAAGTGAAACTAAAATGCTAAATGATAGAGCTGTTGATATTTTTTCCTCACTGTTAATTAAAGAGAAAATAATCCCGGCTCTCACCTCGTGGTGTCCGGCCATCGTGGCGATGTGCAGGGCGGTGAGGGCTCCGTACCCGACCTGCTGCACGTCAGACCCCCCGTGGAGGAGAGCCGTCAGCAGCTCAGCATTATCCTGCAGACAGAGGATCCAAATATTATTTATTGGCTTATTGTGTGAATAGACTACTCAACTTAGTGTTTAGTTTTTCTATAGGTAAAAAAAAATAGCTTATAAGATACTTAGCCCTACCGTGAGACATCCAATTACATAGTTTTTAGCTAAGACCTCAAATATTGAGGCGAAATAACGACACACTTTGTGATAAATAAGTGTCCAAATGCATAAAAAATAATATTTCAAGTTTTAAGGTAAGAATTGTAATAATCCAATAAAATGCATTTTATTCTAAATGGGCCTCTTTGCATAATGAATACTTACCTTCACTAAAAGTAACATTTTGAATGTACTGTAGGACTTGTACTTGTTATTCCCTTTGGTATTACTACATGTTACTCAAGTAGAAGTTGTTATCCCACCTCTGGCACTTGCACTCCACCATGTGGTCGGACATCTCTTCACCACACAACAACACAAACAAAACAAGACAGATTGCACCTAAAAAACATTCAAATAATATTTGAATCCTGTTTGTATTGCTCTTCATTCCTCTCCACCTTGTAAGCAGCCAGGTGCAGCGCGGTGAAGCCGTTCCTCGACAGTCTGGAAGGTCGCAGGCCTTTCAGCATCAGAGTGCGGACGTGCTCTTTGTTACCTGAACACAACACGTACAATCAGGCTGTGATTTACTCAAGTACTTTACTGAAGTACCATTTTGAGATACTTATCTTCACTATATCCATTTGACTCTGTATCATACTTCTACCTCACAACATCTCAGAGGGAAATATTTAACTTTTCTATCCTCAACATTAATCAGACAGAAGTTCCTTTGCAGATTCAAACAAAATATAAAGCAACAAACACAATCATTATTAACAATAAGTAGAATATTATACTATTTTGTATAAATCTATCTAGACATACAAAAAATAGAAAATGATGAATATTTCTGTAATCTAATAATACAATATATAGTCTATTATAATGAAATAGGCCTTCTGCATAATAAGTACTTTTGGTATTTGAAAACATAATGATGCTAATACTTTTGAACTTTTAATTACAACTACTTACTTTTCAAACTCGTATTTCTACACCTGTACTTAAGTTTAATATGTGAGTACCTCTTTCATCATTACTGATTTCCTCCAATTTGACTCTTTCTATATCTTTTTATACAATATATAACATATCTACAGTTTGTTTTCATGTGAGCAGCAGCAGAGGTCGTCTGCAGACAGTGGTGTCAGTCAGTTCACGCTGATCCTCTCTTCCAGCGCCACATTTTGTGGAGGAGTTATTATTAGAGAGTAGTAATCATGCATACCTCCACACGCGCAGCAGAGGTGCAGCAGCGACAGACCCTTCTCTGTTCGGTAACTCACGTTCACCTTCAGGAAAGCCTCATCAGAGCTGAGACACACAAAATACACATCACCTGCTTACAGGGTTGTGATCAAATGTAAATGTTCACTTAACATTACATTCATATGATGCTTTAATCCAAAACGATTTAAAATAAGTGCAATTAAGATACAAACTCAGAGCATCAAGAATCCTACATTTGCTTCAAATAAGAAAAACATTTGAATTAGGTTAAACCTTTAGGGGCTAGGATTTAGTTTTAAATGATATATATTTGATGTTAGGTTTAATGGCCAAGGTGCAGTGAACGTTAAAACAATAACATAATTTTAAATCTGAAAGAAGAAACAGCATTTAATAATTGTTGTATAACTCAAGCATGTTAGTTTACAGATAAGCAGCACTATATAGCATTTTTAATTAATTGCTAAGTGAATAGTAAGGGGCTGAAGGGGAATAGTAAATTAACATCAGCTATTAGGTTTTAAAATAATGTCCTAATTAACAATATCCTACTTTTCAATTCCTTTGATAAGCAAATGTGCATGGTACAGTTAGTCACCTCACTTAGCTGCTTGTGAGAAGTGACATCCGACTGACACAGAAAAAAACCAACATAAAAAGTTGATCAATTAAATTTAGTTAAATGTATTTTGTCACCTGAAAGCCAGTTTGAGCTCCCCGAGCTCGCTGTCTTTAAGCGTGAAGTCATCATCTAACTTCTCTACGATCAGAGAGTATGACTCGCCCACCTTCTTCTTCCACTCATCTTCATCAGGGTTAAACACAACAACAACACTTCTTCAATTTCATCTGATATAGAATGCTTTTATTTTCAATTTGCAGAAATATCTCTTAACAGTTTTTAAGCCCTACATATAATCTTTATCAATCACTTGTTTTTTAAATGGTTTGTACATGTCAGTGTTTGTATTGCTGAGTAATGGCAGCCACACAAACCGCCAGGCTTTCCTTCTTCATTTAAAATCTCTTTCTCAGTCCTGTCGATACATATAATATTAATAAAACTATGACAAACACACCTTCCTCTACCTGTGCATGTCTGCGATGGTCTGGATTTGTAGTTTCCCATTGATAAGGCGTCTCTTCTCCTGTGATGTGTGCTGTATTGTTTGGTAAAGCAGTAATACAATCTCTCGGAGCCACTATCACACAGGTCCAGATAAAGCACGGATCCTGACTGAGGGCTAAAAATAAACTCCTTAGAGTGGAATGCCCGACAACTACGACAACCGATCTCCCTCCAAATGCAAGCAGCCGTGTATCACTGTGACTGTGTGTGACATTGAAAGATATATAAAGTATTTGGATATTTTAGTATATTGTCTCTCATGTCTTCATTTTGAAGACATGTTGATGTGTCATTCTCGAAAAAAAGCACAAGTAAAACTACAGCTATAACAACGATAATGAGTCCAAACGAATAATGTTATTGGACACACTTGAATGTAAAAAAAAAAGGTGTATTTGAAAGCAACATAATTGTCTCACACTATAACAAGACTTAGGGAATGTTAATCGAGCAGTGTTGATTAATGTATCACCAGAAAGCTATATTTAAATTAAAAAAATGTAAGTATTGACTTCATAAAAAGTGAATCAGATGACTAAATCCATATCAGCTAGGGCTGCTCGATTATGGGAAAAATCATAATCTCGATTATTTGGGTAAATAATTATCCCTTTACTTTGAAAAAATCAATTTATTGGAGAAGAAAAATGTGAACAGTATGTTTTTAACAGTTGATTACCCTGAACTGTAAGTATAATTCAACTGAAAAACCAATAATAAAAATAAGAATTGAGCAGCCTATATCAGCTCTTCACACTGTTGAAGTCTCACCAGTTGTTGTTAGGTTTCTTTGATGTTTCATAAAGTCCTGTTCTGAACTCCAACATCTGCTGCAGGTCTTTACACTGTGAGGCCTCATGCATGGACATCAGCTGTGTGTCTCTGGGTAAAGTGAAAGTAGATCCACTCAGCGCGGCCTGCAGCATCTCCAGAGTCAGTGAAAGGAGCTCTGTTGATCCGAGCAAACAGGGAACAAACAAGCGCTCCACAAACTACAGTTTGAAGCATCACCGGAGAACCTCAGGGCTTCGTTCTCGAGCCCCCAGCGAGACAAAGACTCTGCGACGCTGACACCAAACAGATTCAAATCTTCCATAAACGCCGGGGCTTCCACGCTGCGCTTCAAGTCGTCGTTTATGCCAAAGACGACGGTTACAAACCTGGTTTTCTGCTTGACATTCACACACAGGGAATGCATGAAGACGCTATCGGGCACTGAGAGTCCTGCAGGGATCCAGCAGCTGCTTACGATGGAGCCAACACCTACAGAAGCTCCTGCTCCCAGTCTGGAATATTCCACCACTGACCCAGCTCCCACAGAGACACTGGGGTCCAGGACGCTGTGCATAACGCAGCATCCTGAGTTTTCCTTCATATCCACGCTGAATGCAGAGGACAGGAGACCCAGCTCAGTCCTCAGCATCACATCCTCCGTGAGGTGAAACAGGTACTCTGACGTGGTTCCAATGTGATAAAACTTGGAGTTGTTCAAGAGGATAACATTCAAAGGAGTTCCTTTTAGATGATGGAAGATCTTTTGGCGGATTGCCACTAGACTGCTCTCCTCTTTGGTGACATTCGCAGTGTTGCTGGTGTAATCTATCGTGGCGTTAGGACCCAGTGCTTGGAGGAAGTCTCCGTAAGCGTCCACCTCACAGTCCAAAGGCCCTAACTCCTTCAGCAGATTGAGAAGAGACATCGCTGTATTAAAATCAATGTAATAGGTGCTGTCTGTGTAGGCAAACTCAGCGTCAGAAAGCACGAAACAACCCTCTGCCTTTTACAAACAGCCCCGGTGCCACGACCTCCATGGGTGGCGGGCTAATGCGGTGAAGCCAGGTTTGTCGAACTTAACCCTCTCGTCCTCTGAGGTGCTGTAGAGCTCGATGTCGTCCGCGCAGGTCACCAGCACACCGGGCTTCATCTGAGACGGGAAATCCACATATAACGCCAGTTTGAGCTCCAGCATCTGGTAGAGAGGGTCCCCCAGAGGCACGGCCGGAGTCTTCCCCAGAGCGCTGGCCCGGCAGGCGCTGGCTGAACCCTCCTGGAGACGATGAGAAGAGGAAACATCACAAACAGTACGGGAATAATTCAAAATGTCTGAGCTTTGCAATCCCTTCATTTTGAAATGGGGGTGGAATATGGCCAAAATGATATAACGGTTATTATTTTAAATCACCATAACTGTATTCATCAGGATACAATTATTGTTCTTAAATGTAATTAATAAATGGTTTATTAACCATACTATACTGTATCATAGGGCTGCTCGATTATGGCAAAAATCATAATCCGTTATTTGGGTCAATAATTGATATCACGATTATTAAAAACGATTAAATAGATGAATTGAGCATTGAGCATTTCTACAATTTGCACAGCATCAAACAACACAATCATTATAACTGTAAAAATAAAACTCTTTCAAAATGAAAACTTTAAGGTTTCTGAATAAAAATATAATTTACAGTTTTAAGGTAAACAGGTGCAACAATAAGTTTCCGATTGTTTTTGAGAGCCAGACTTTTCCTGAAGGATTTGATGCTCTTCTATTTCAAAAAGCTGTCTAAATGCTCTGCAAATTACAGGTAATCATATAACCAATATGTTCCACATGCTGATTTTACAATATCATTCTCCTCCTCCATGTTTGCCTAAATCAGATTACGTTTCAGGGCAGCTGGATATGCGAAATTGCAATATGGCAAATCAGTTTTGCAGAATCTCTACCATTATTGAATGAAATATGTACATGTGTATTTTGGTGCATGAGATCATTTCTGTTAATTACATGATAATGAATCCCTTCTGTAGAAGAAGGCGGAGAGACACAAACCAAAGTGCAGCAAAAACTTTATTCTACTTTGTTTAAATGATCAACAAAAACAAAAAGTCATTGAAATATCAAACCTGCATGGATCCACCCTTCAGCTGCTGCAGGGATCAAGTGGAGCCTCCATTCCCTTAATTAAACACAAGGTCATTTAAGTATTACAAATATAAATGCTGTGCTTTGTTGATCCTCAGCAACAGATAGAAAGAAGTGCAATAAAACCGTCTGAGTCCTTAGTGTCTCTGAAACATGATTTAATAGAAAATGTTATTTATTTATTTTTGATAGATACGTGTTTTCTTTGCAAAACTAAATGCATTAGTTTGTAGATGGTGTTTTGTATTTGCAAACCACATTGTGTTTTTAGTGAATCATGAGGCATTTGTAAAACATGTTGAGAGAGCTCCGAACACTTTGTATTGAACTCCGACCGGAAGCTCTTTTCTGAGCAGCTTCTCTCTGATCTGCAGCTCATAAGCTGCTCTCTGGTTCTCATCCACAGCCGTCAGCACCACCACGTCCCAAAACTCACCGGGCTGCACCTCTCCAGCTGCAGGCGGAGAAAAAGCAAGTGTTTATAACACAGGAGGAGGAAGTATACCTAGGAAAATAATACAAGACAGTTAAATAAAACTCACCGCGCAGAGAGTCAAACTTCCTGAGTTTTTCTCTGGTTGCACTTTGTAACCTTGTGCTACATTCCTGGCTCTTCTGTCGCTAGTGACATTTTATCTATTTCTCACTTCCGGTCACTGGGAAATATTACAACACGGTATATTTTCATTTTAAATCACCATAACTGTATTCATCAGGATACAATTATTGTTCTGTAAAT